GAGGGGGAGGAAGAGGAGGAGGGGGAGGAAGAGGAGGAGGAGGAGGAGGACAAAGGTAGGGCGGCGGAGGAGGAGGACATGGCAGAGGATGTGGAGGGCGAGGAGGAGGAGGAGGATAAACTTTCGACAAAGGTGTGGTGGAGGAGGAGGATAAACTTTCGATAAAGGTGTGGTGGAGGAGGAGGAGGAGGAGGGGGATATGGAGGAAGCAGATGAGGAGGAAGAGGAGGAGGAAGAAGAAGAGGAGGAGGAGGAGGAGGAGGAGTAGCTGCTTAGGCAAAAAGGCATGTTCACGTTAGAGGAGGAGGAAGAAGGAAGAGGAGGAGGAGGAGGAGGACGACGACGACGGGGGCGAGGACGATATGAGGAGAGACGTGGTCGACGAGGAAGATATGGAGAGAGAGAGAGAGAGAGATAGAGCTGGGGGTACCCACTGTCATGGTTGCCCGATGCTCTCCTGCCACCCACCGCTGACTGCTGCCTTTGCCACTGCCGCTGCCACCGAAGGCTGTCTCCTCCCGCTGCCTCCTGCCCTAGCTTTCTCAATCCTCCCTCCTTCGTCCTCCCTCCTCGTTCCTCCCTCTTCCCCCCTCGCCGTCGTCCCTCTGGTCCTTTCAATGACGTCCCTCCTCCGTCCTTCGTCGTCCTCGTCGTTTTTCATCGTCGTCTTCCCTTGTCGTTCTCGTCCCTTCTTCCCTTGTCGTCGTCCTCCCTCCTTCCCAGAAGAAGTGGCCCTCCTCCCTCCTTCGTTGCCCTCGTCGTCGTTCGTTGTCGTCACAATTGACCATCCACCGGCAGGCCCCCAATCTGCACACGAACATGGCTGCGTCAAGTGTGAAACTGGCCCGACACCTGCCCCAGTTTTTCTTGGGGGGGAAAGGCCTGCAAAATTTGAGTTCGACTTCTGCAGACATAACCCACCAAAAAAACTTTCGGGCCAGGGCGGGGCCGATTTTGCATTTGACGTGGCCTCCTTTTCATTTTTGCTTGGCAGGGGGGGCACGAAACTCTACAATCCCGGTTTTTCTTTTTTGTGGTTGGGAGACCCTAATTAATGCGCGCCGCATCGGGTGCACGGCGCCGTGTCGTGCGTGGTGTGCACGATGTGTGCACGGAGCCGCGCACCTCGATGCGCCACAAGTATGATTATAACCCAACCACCCAGGTCGAGCATTTGGTAGCCGCTGTAGGGTCCAGTAGCTCTGCCGTATAGGTGATTCAGTAGGTCAATAGGCCTGATCAGTCCACCGACAGGCAGAGTTCCAAAAATAGAAGCTCAGCCCTGGGAAATAGCTAGAGTTACCGTGGCACGAAGGTTCATAAATTTTTTATTTTCATAGATAAGTTCAAGACTCTCATCTTGTGTGCATCTTGTGCATCGTGTGTGGAACATGGTGTGATGAGTGTGAGCTTGCCTGGACTTGTGACTCAGCAAGAAGTTGATTGTTGCAACTGGTATCAAAGCAGGACTTTTGTTGTCTTTGTGCTCAGTGCTTGAAGGAGAAGCTACGGCTGTGGTTGTGGGTGGGACCCTGCTGAGAGTTTGTGCCGGTGGTTGGGTTCTCCTTCAAGCACGGAGCACGAAGATAACTGTTGTGGCTCCTCCAAGCACCAAGCACGAAGACAACAAAAGTCCTGCTCCAATACCAAGAGCAACGATCAAGTTCATGCTAAGTCACAAGTCCATGCAAGTTCACACTCAACACACGATGCACAAGATGTACACAAGATGAGAGTTTCAAATTTATCTATGAAAATCAGGGGATTTTTGGCTCTTACCGTCGACGCCGTAGGCGGTAGGTGTGCCTACCAGTCGGGCCGACCCGTAGGCGGACCCGTCGACGGTCGGCAGACTGCCTTGCAATTCTTTCTATGTGTGTGTGATTACATGGTCGTGCACGGCTCGAGGAGAGCAGCCCGCAATAAGTTTTTTTGGGGGTGGTGGGGGTTATAGGGGGAGGTATAGGGGTTGTTGGGGGTTATGAGGGTGTTCGGGGGCGGTATGGGGGTGTTGGGGGGGGTGTATGGGGGTGTTGGGGGAGCCCTTTGGGGGTGTGGAACTTTTTTTTTTTTCTCTCTATACTTACTAAAGCAAGCAAAGGGTCTAGCGACATGCTCAGTCGCGGGCCCAACGCAAACCGCTTGGGACACAAAACCGAGGCGGGGGGGCAGGCGGTCGCGCGGACGAAAATTCGAAGGCGTGCAGGCCCGAGGCGGGGGACCAGGCCGACGTGCGGACGAATATTCGAAGGCGCGCAGGCCGAGGCGAAGGGGTGGGAACCGGGCAGCGGGAGGCGGCGACACAAAATCGAGGCGGGGGGCCAGGCCGACGCGGGGACGAAAATTCGAAGGCGCACAGGCCGAGGCGAAGGGGCAAAGTCGGCGGTCGGGTGGGAGCGGGCCCACGGGGAACTGGCCGAAGCGCGGCGGCTGATTTTTTGTGTGGCGGGCGTTTGGGGCGTTCGGGGTGTGAATTATGTCGTTTGTTGCTCTTCGCGGCCTGTGAATCCTGTCGGGGAATGGGGGGAAGTGCAATGAGCTGGTTTTTTTTTTGCCCTTCTGCTGACGCCGCGGCCTGTCCCGAAGCTTCGCATCCGTCAAAGAAGGCCCTCGCCGGCCGGTTTCTGAGGTGCGGATTGCATGGGATTGCCAGTTTTTGCATGCGTTTGCGTCGCCACTCCGCACGTCGGTGTTCAGCGCCTGTCCATTGCCATTCAGCAAGCACATACCGGTGACTATCGCTGCTCGGTGGAGAGAGAGAGAGGGTGGCCGTCACTATTTCGCACGTCGGTGTTCAAAGCCTGTCTGTCGCCACTCCGCAAGCGTATAGCTGTGACCATCGTCGCTAGAGAGAGAGAGAGAGAGAGAGAGAGAGAGAGAGGTCGTATCTAACGTGAAGGACGGCTGGAAAGGGAGGCATAAGAAGAGGTCGTTGTTTAGTTGGTGCAGGAAGCGAAAGGATCTAACGTGACGAAGACCGAGAAGAAGAGGTCGTTCTTTTGGAAGAGGTCGTTGTTTGGTTGACGTGACGAAGGCTGAGAAGAAGTCGACGAAGATGGCGGATCAACGTAAGTTCTGTTCTTTTCTTGAATGGGACTGGAATTCGAGATTGGGGAAGGACGTGACTCGGGATCGGGACTAACAAGAGTAGTCAGGATTGGAGGGAGGGGAGGGATACGGGATCGGGGAGCAATCGGGATCGCATATGAAGGAAGGGAGTCGGGATTAGTTGGGAAGGCAGCGGGACTCGGGATGGGGACGAACGAGAGGAGTGGGGATTGGAGGAAGGGGAGGGATACGGTATCGGGGCGCAAGCCGGACTCGGATTGGGACTAACGAGAGGAGTGGGGATTGGAAGAAGGGGAGGGATACGGTATTGGGGCGCAATCGAGATCACGCATGGAGGGGGATGGGACCAATGGGGGCGGTCGGGATTGGAGGGAGGGGAGGGATAGTGGATCGGGAAATGGGATCGGGGTGCACGGGCGGGGAAGGAAATAGGAGTCGGGATTGGTTGGGAGGGGGGACGAAATCGGGATCGCGCACGGGTGGGGGAGGAGGGGAGTGGGACTCGGGATCAGGACTAACGAAAGGAGTCGGGATTGGAGGGAAAGGAGGGATAAGCGTATAGCGGGTCTCGCGGATATGGGATCGGGAAATGGAATCGGGGCGCACGGGCGGGGGAGGAAATAGGAGTCGGGATTGGTTGGGAGAGGGGAGGAAATTGGGATCGCGCAAGGAGGGGAGAGGGAGTCGGGATTGGTTGGGAGGGGGGACGAAATCGGGATCGC